AGAAGTGGGTGCTTTTGGCAGAAGTCCAGATATGTATTTTGGTGGGATTACAATTGTCTGTTGGGAATATTTGGAAACATTAGCAGGAGGTTATGTTCTAAGTAAACATAAATTCGCACGATCTCGCCAATGTCTTTCAAGGTAACGCTCTTTTAAATAATAGGGTATTTTAGGAATTACCTTTCTGAATTGTCAACACCTGGTCTATTTGGGGGTATTTCCTGTTTTCATATGCATATTATGTTTTCGCTGTTAGGAATATTCTATGTTCAGCATGGTGTGATGCATGTCGCGCGTGTTATTCAACTCTTAGTCTTTTATATTCCTTTTAAATTTAACTTGAGTTGAAGTCTCATATTGTAAGTCTTCATACATAAACTTTTGTTCGAATTCCCTTATGCGACCAATGGAGCAAAGAGAAGATGTCTTGTGTTCTTGAGATCAGTATTAGCATAAGTTTGTTGACAAGTAAGATCTACAAAAATGTTGGCTTGAGAACCAAGATTTTCATTTTGCTTTCTTCTCCATGCCTTTTGAATTGTTTGAAAGATATAATAATGAAGACCGAAAAGAAGTTTTACAATGATAGATTAAAATTTGATATGCAGGATGGTTAGGATTACTAAAGAAAGTGTTGTAATAGGTGAGCAAAAGGTAGTTTTATAGCGCAACCATGATGAGTTTTTTTGCTGACTTGTAATTACGTATATCTTGTTATGATCAATGTTCATTTGGGATGGTGACCTGGATTTTAAAGAGTCAGCTTGTCTTACCGCTTGCTACATAAAAATCCTGTAGTTGTAAGCACAAAACTAGTTTGTTGGTGCCAGGGTTTCTGCCTTGTGCAAGTAAACTGTTTAGTTTATTGTTTTTTGTTTTGTTGTTTTTTTTGTTTTTTTGGGGTGTGTGTGGTATTTGACTGTATTGTATATTGCTTATTTAGTTGTCTATTGAGGGGGGACTAACAATGACCACGCGCTCTATGATATTCATTAATGCCCACCATGGGATTAGCCCCACGCCCCCTCCATGGCTAACAAAAAAATAATCCTCTAGCCATTTGTTGTCCGGCGCATGCCAATAATACTTACCGACTAGACGCAAAACATAGTATATGTACTCTGCATGGCATATATAATCCTATCCAATACTAATGCCGACTATCCATAAACCCTAAATCTGGCAATCAAACATGGCACTAAAGGTTTAGTGCGACCCTAGCATTCTAATGGAGAATGAAGATTTGGTATTATTGGATTTTTTTTCCCCATTATGTTAAGCGCAACTGAAAGTTTGGTTAAACTTAGTAGTTCCATGAATGGTACCTCTAGGAATGGGATTCACATTAATTCATAAGTTCGCTTGCGCAAATAGCATAAAAATACTCAATGAGTGGCATATGGTTTAGTATGCAGGTCATGTAAGGAGAGATTTTAAACTGGTTTTCAGTTGTAATGCCTGCATTTGTCATGCTAGTTTCTTGATGTTGATTGTTATTTTTATTTTTTTTCTTTTTAAATTACACTAAGATGAATTAGTGGTTTGGTATCATGTCAACTCATTTGTGCAGCGATTTGCAGCTCCTCGTCCTGCAACAAACTTCTGGGAGCTGCATTTTGCTTTGCAGCCTTTGCTGTTTTAAGGCCTCTATGTTTTTCCCTAGCTCTTTTCTCTGTGCGGTGAAACGTACTCGTCTGTCGCCACTCAGGTATTTTATTTTTTAGAGAGGAAAGATATTATTACGTTGTACCTAAGCAAGCTGTCAGCATATATACAACAAAAAACAAAAAGTAAAAATACTACAAAAAGTATGCAGGCAATATATATTATATATATATAAATCTTAAAACAGTGCAAAAGTAAAGACTGGTGCAAGGCGACAAGGTTAAAAAAGGGCAGCCGAAGTGAGAAAATTGTAGAAACAAGATAATGGCAACTTAGGCTGTTTAGTATATTATCTGGAGATTGTTAAAAATAGCAGTTTTTGGGGTGAGGCAAATAATGGTTTATGTAGGTTGAACGCAAATTCCACTTTTGTGGGCTAGATAGTGGGTTGACTCTATGTAGTTGTATTTGATGTTTAACTGCTCCGAATTCTTCTGCCTCATTTGGCATCTATACTAAAGTCAAATGGCGGCATGCATTGTTGTCATGTCTATTAATGAATGTTTAAATTATTTAAGATCCTTAGTATGGCTTTTGCCTAATACTATTTCTTTTGTGCTAATGTGAGCAAGACGTTAATAGGCAATCTACATAAGCCGCAGATTCTGAAGAGCACGGTTGCTAATAAACATTCTATACATTGCACTGTGTGCAGGGTCCGGTGATTACGTTATGTCTCGCATTGTGTTACGGCAAGTAATGAGGCCGAAACTTTCTATGGCTATGTCTACCGTGCGGCAATTGTCCAGCGATGTTTCGGTGATGTGCCTTCCTCCCCAACTTTGTTGGGATTCTCCAGGTTTGGGCATTGCATGATCTCAAGTGGGGCCTTCCATCTTGCGAAAAGCAGCTATATGTTGTTATTTGCTAAACCAATACTCTTTATATTGTTGTGGTCTTGTTTTCATGACTCATTTCTTGAAGTAGTGGGGTTGGCACCAGTAATGGGCTCATAATATTTGAAAATAAGATTATTCGGCATTGGGTTTAGATGCAACCACTGTTTTTCGAACTGATTCAGAGTAAGAAAGTTCTTTTTGATGTAGCTAAAGTTGCTTCCATGTAGATGTCATATACCTTGGATACATGCGGACCACCCGGTAGCCTCAACATATTGGAGCGAGAGTATAGATCAATGTTTTGGTTATTATGCAATTGAAGAGATGGGGTTTTTAAATGGGGTGGGAAGGATTGAGATGGTCAACTAACATATATCAGGTTATCTGTGTCAAAGAGCAATTTAATTTTAGTTTGACTAGAAAGTCTTTCTTCCTTTTTTTTCGCCCTTTCTTTAATGGAATGAAGAGTATTTATTTGGGATTATGGGAGCATTGACTAAAACATAAATAAGTATTTAGGCATTTAGAAGAAGGCAATGCTAACGCAAAGGAAACAATCATGCTTGAACAGAATACTGCACTTGTAAGGATAAGAAATGCCTTTCAGAGATGAAGAATTAGAGGGGAAAAAATGTAGGTAAAAAACAAAGTTTGATGCACCGCAAGCTTAGGTCATTGTTGTTTCAACAACATATTTCTTTCTCGAATGAACAGTCAAGGGAAAGAACGCGTATAAGAGGTCAAGTCACCATACCAAAGGGAGAGGAGAAAGTTTGTTTTTATGTCGCCAGACTCCCGATACACACTTGCTCAACTTGCTTACGAACTTTTTGCACATTTTCGTCATGGGACTTTAGTTGAGAATTCTGACTAACTGAAACTGCAGCTGTGAGACAATGGCCTCCAAAGATTTTGGCCACCACAATAGTTGAACTGGCTGCAAGGCTTCTGTGTTCAAGGACTGCGAATTTGGACGCATCTCAGTGTGTTTTACCTTAACGGGTTAAATCTTGCCCAATACATTGTTGTAAACGTAAGAGCAAATGGTGATGTTGGAAGTCTGGAAAATACTACTGAAATTGGAAGGCTGGATTAGCTAAGATATTGGTTGGGCTCAAGTAAGAAACTCACAAGAAGGGATGTTGGAAGCCCTCTTAACTGTTTTGGATTTATTTATTATTGTTAATTTGTTAAACTGGTTTGGATTTATGATGGCAGGGTCAATAATTGTTACTCTTCTATAATGAGTTGGATCTGCTTTAAATCTGGACCTGCCTAAACTAGTTAGAGTTCTACATTGTAAATATAGTGGATGACTTAGACGGTCACAATCATGGAGCACAACCGAATTGAATGTTTTAATTTATTTAATAGAAGTTCTATTGTGGACTGCTTAAGTTGTGACTTTTGATAAGGCGCTATCTATATTTTCTTTGTTGTTCGCATTTTTATAAACCTTGCTGGCTAAGGTAGTGGTTTGATGGACTCAACATCTCTCCCTACTATTCTAGGAGTATAGTAAGTGTAGTATATATCCCATGGTCTTTCTTCTCTAATCATGCCCCAGATTTATTACTTTGATTTTCCTAATTTGGATGATTCTTCAGGGATCATATTGCACAATCTGGAGGAAAGACTACTCTGATGCCGTACATAGCATTCTGTTTCTGGCAGCTGGAATAATGGTTTAATAGGTAGCAATTGTTCAATCACTACTTTCTGAATCAGAACCACCGTAAGAATCGAAGCCTACTTGTGTCATGTTAATAGCGATGCTGCAAAGGGTAAGTTTGGGTAATTTGAGTGCGAGCCTATTCTTATTTCCAGAAGGACCCTAGCAATTTCGACAGATTTTTCCTCTTTTTTCCTGTTGATACCGCCTTTTCGTCTGTTGTGCGATCGAAATGCACTGGGTTACTGTTGGGCATGTTTCGTTTTGTTTTTTTTTTTCGTTTTGTGTTCATTTTTGATTTCTGCAATTCTTGATAATAAAACGGAAAGTTCATAAGGTGGTCTATCGTCCTTCATTCCATAATTGTGTGGCAACAAGTTTTAAGATGGCAAAAATTTTGGTGGGGTTTGTTTTCAAAAAATTTCCGCAA